GAAGTAGATGATGATCCCTAACCAGACTTCTGTTGAATAACAACCTTCTGTGCTCCAAGATGAAAGCTGAGAAATCATGGGAGAAAGACACGATGGTGTGAAAGCTAGTCTCTGAGAATGAAGAACAGAGTTTTATCTAAGTATGTTTCCCATGTTTCTGGACCAACTCGTGGAAGTCCGTTTACATATGCACAACAGATAAACGATGGATGACACATGTATATGTCTCTCATGCTCTAAAATCTATTTGTGGGTCCCTCTATGCACGGGTATCTGATTGCAAGTGTCTGTGGAGTACATGTGTGGGTGCCTTAGTGGTATGCTGTGCACGTGTTACTGGAATTAACTGAGATCATGTCTTATTTGTCTAACAACGGGGTCAAGTTTGTGTGCACAGTATATGGGCTAAGTCAAACAGGTCTAAGCCCATTTTCGAAAAGTTGCAACGTTTTAGAGGAAATATATTAGGGTTCTGAGAGAGGGAAGACAAACAGTTCAGAGTTACATCGAAAGAAAAAAAAGGAGTGCATTTTCTCTGTTCCCTCTCTCTCTCGAAGTCGACGAAGATGAATCTCTTCCTCTCTAGCTTGTCTCGTCTTGTCGGCACCAGTTCGGTCGATCCAGAATCTGATCTACCTGGATCTTCATCGTCTCAGACAGATTTCACAAGTCCAACCGCTGAACTCGTCACACCTGCTGCCTCGAAGTCCGAACCAGTGCATGCGGAAGATAATCCACAGGCCGTGGAAGTTTACAAAGGGGAAGCAACTCCGACAAAAACACCAAAAGAACCGATCATTCAACTGGTCGAAACAGAGCAACCATGTGTCAAGGAATTTCAACCGGCTGGATCTGACAATCAGTCTACTGGCACCAAACGGTCAACTGTGGTCAAAGGATCTACAGCAACATCCCGTCGCTATGTTACTAGGAAGCGCGCGGCCCAGTTCTCGGTATTGCCTCAATCGTCTACACGGTCTGAGCCCAGCCATAAAAAGAATCGATCCTCTAAAGGAAAAAGCGTGTTGGTATTTGACGATGCCCGTTTCAAATCAGCAGAGGCACAAGAAAGGTATGTGTCTTTTGCATCGCGTCCAATTCTAGAAGAACGGCTGATTGACTTTGCTGAGGAACATAAGGAAATCGAGTCAATGATTAGTAATGCTGGTCTAGAAAGTACTCTGAATCGTGTGGAGGCGTATGCTAAAGATGTGGTCTTTGAATTCTATACCCATCTCTCGCTTACCAAACCAATTGAGGATGCGGTTGCTGTGTGGGTTTGCGGTCACGAGTATGAGTTTTCTGTTGATCGAATAAATGAGTTGTTAAGGTTGAAAGCACTTGCTGAGCAGGCTAAGGTTGCAGAGGTTAATGAACTGACTGATGAAGCGCTTGCCCGTTTTATGTCTGATGACAAGGAGAAGCTTCTAAAGAAAATGACTCCTACTTACTTCGCACAAGACAAAGCTCTGTTATACCGGATCTGCTGTTTTAACTGGATGCCAACAGAAAATCCGGGATATCCTAGACCAGACAGAGTCAAGATGGTGTTTAAGGTCTGCAATGGGATTCCGATTGACTTTGGGAAGCTGGTGTTTGATCAAGTTGTGTATCAGTCTCGACTAGGCGACAAAAGTGGAATCTGGTGTTTCGAAGCCTCATCTATCAACTGCTGTTGCGAGAGGCGCTAATCGTTCAGGATGCTGAGATCTCCCTGACTCTGATTCTCACCTACAAACGGGTAGCAACTCTGGTCTCAGTTAAACAGGAAGCTACCCAGACTGTCAAGAAGGAGCGAGGTCGATCTGAAGCTCCCACTGTGAGAGCTGCTGGACCAAAGACAATCATCCTGTCGTCCCGTGATCACAGAGCTCTGACAGCCGCAGTTCGAGTCCTTCAAAGGGTTTTGGCCACAGGTAAGTATCTCTCGAACTTGTTACATGAGCCAGTGCATCTTGTTTCTTTTTGACTTAACTGTGTACTCAAGCAGGGGGAGAAGCTGATGATGAGGTCGAGGACATTACTCCAAGCTGCTGACTGAAGATGTATGGTTCTTAGGGGAGTAGTTAGTATGGGGGAGAGTTAGTTTTTGTGAGACTAGATTCGGGTTGGTTTTTGGGAGCGAAACTATGTCTCTTATCTCCCTGTATTTCTTTTAGTTGCTAACTCTTTTTATGGTCCTCTACGGATTGTTTAAAACTTGGTATGTTGGTGGTTTTTGAACTATGCTTGATTTTTAGTTATGTGTTAGTTAAATGCATCTGCTCTGGTATGTTTGCGTATGACTAACTATTGTAGGCATGAATGTTTGAGCACCAAGTCAAGTCAAAAAAGGGGAGATTGAAGATGCAACAGAAGTGGAGTAAGCAGCAATAAGAATGGAGTGCGTTTGTCACAGAAGATAGAAGACGGTGTGACACAAAGAAGAGTTCAAGGCCTTTCGTATATTTGTGTATATGCGAAAGGTAGAGTGAAAAAAGAAACTAAAGAATAAATTTAGGAAACTTAGGTTTCTGCTCGGTCTAGGTCTTTAGTATAAAAGGGGTAAGGGTAGAAGCAAAGAGGTAACACTTCTGACCTAAACCAGCAAAACGGCACCAATGCTTTGTCCAAAAATAAGAGATAAGCTTTAAGGTTAGTGTTCGTTTTAGGGTTAGATCTAGAATCACATGTTGTGTATTCTAGTATTAGCTTGAGATCAGTTGGTTCAATCTAGAGTTCTAGAGTTGTGTAAAATCAAACTAAGTATAATCGTGTTGAAATTAACTTATTGATTCAAGTGAATAAAATCATTCGTCTTGGTGATGTCCAAGACACATAAATCTGTGTTGTCCTGTTTTCTGTTCTTTTATCAGTGTCGAGGGATTTGATTGTAAACCGGTCGTGATATAAAGTTAACTTAACTCTCCGGTTCTAATATATCCACGACATATTATTTGAGAAGTAACATTATTGAAAGTAGCTGACTTGTCAACACTACAACAAAAATTAGTGCTTTTAATTGATGACATGTAAATGTGACATGTCAAACTTCCTAAAATAAATCAAATGTTTTGATTGGTTGAATTAAAATTAAAGACTTGTAGTATTAAAACATAAAAACACTAGATTATACTTATAACACTAAAATTAATAAATTTTAAATTAACAGAAAAAATTATTATTATGATTTTAATGTTTTATATATATTCATAATTTCATAACATATAATTCAAAATATTTTCAACAAAAACAATATATATATATATATATATATGAAATCGAAAAAATAATACTAATTATCCAATAGAATAGTAAAGATTTTATATATTAATAATGTTTGAATTATGATATATTTTTATTTTGGAAAGTTATTAATTTACAAAATATAGTAATAACATTTAAACAAGTTTTAAATAAACAAACTATTAAATAATGCAATTTCAAATAAATTACAATCATGATAAAAATAATTTAAAAAATAAAATGTTTAAAATAATTAAAAAAATAATTAAATTTTATTGAATTTCTTTAAAAAACGTAATTTAAAATAAATTTTCTTTTTAAACCAATATTTACTAAATGAATAAAGTATATAGTAATTATTATTTTATGATATAAATAGGACCATATATTTTTATAAAACTTTTATCATATTTTTATTGTTGTTTTCTAAAATATACATAACTTATGTTACCATCTCATCTTATCTCTTATCATATTTTAAATAAAAATAATTATATCATACTCATATATATATATATATATATTCATAATTTTTTATTGTATATCAAAAATTTGAGATCATAAATGAAATAAAAAATAATCAAACGACATAATAAATTGAAATAAGATGAAATAAATATGAATAAAAATTAAAAATAGAAGTGTATAAAAATAAATCTCTCGCACTTTGTTTTACAAAGTCACGTACAAATTTTTTAACATGTAAGAGCTATATTTTGACTTTTTAAAAAATATGCATACAGACATAAATATTAATTGTGCATTAGTAGAAGTCACATGAACTTTTTCGTGCATGTTAGTATTTGTTAAGCTTGATTACAGTCTAATTTATATTATAGTTTTTATAGTACAATTTATTTTTAAAAAAATATTTATCTATTCTAAGTGTAGTGAGGTGGTTGGTACCCCCACACATGCATGTCAACTATCTATCCGCTCTTAGGATAAGTGAAAATGGTAAAAACTATTTCAGTTTAATTTGAAACAAATGAAAAAAAAATACTTAAAAATATATTATATACGTATTTCAAATTTATATTATGTAAGACGTAAAAAATTATTGCAGATTATGTAAGGTAAAATAAAACATATTATAAATAATACTCAAAAAATACTATAAGAATTTAATTATTATTTAATATAACTTTTATATTTTTGATTATATATTATTACAAATTTCATAAAAATAAAAAGTTTTTAAAATACATTAGTTTCAGAAATAAGTTATGAAATACAAAAACAATATATATATATATATAAATATACTAATATTTTAACTATGTATATCAAAAATATTATATCCGCACATATTTGCGGACCAACCACCTAGTAATTCATGAAGTGATGAACAAAACAAAACAACAAGACTTGAATTTTCTGCCATATACCGGGTCAAGAAACGAAGTATCCGCGTAAGGCTCATTCGCCATGTGGAACCCCCCAAGTCAATGCAGACTTTTGGATTTGCCATTTTTACTTTTTTTGTTTTTTGGTTAAAAAGAAGACTTTTGATATTGACTCTTTCTTAATCTCATTTATTATTTATCACACTCGCTAACTGTTCCAAAATTTAAATTTATTTTGTTTTTATACAATTAAATGTATTACATTACGTGGAGGATGTTCATAAAGGATAAAAAAGCGACATGATTATGTGTATATTCATGTATCGAATTTGTGTCCAAATTATGATTTGATCCAACCAATCGCTCGCAATATATTGATTTAGTAGCTAAATACAAAAGTAAAGAATATACATATTTTAATTAGAAAGGTCTACGTGAATGAAACCGGGAGGAAAAAAGGACTAATTATTATTACTAGATGATTAAAAAAGTTCGTATAAAGCTTGAATTTATCATACAGAAACTGATATTTTGTTTTTCAAAATAAGCGATCATACAAGAAATGTATATTACAGCAAGTAACCCAAAAGAATACACACTCTTCCATCAAAATTAAGTGATACATAACTAACATTATTTGAAACAAATCTAGAAAAAATCACATAATCACACAACCAGGGTTTGGTTCCTCCACCACAACTTTAGACATCGCGTATGGATACTGATAGTGAGAATCTGCATAGGCAGAAGTGTATTGGTATTGGTATTGGTTCGGGTGCCACTGAACCGGTACGGCAATAACTTCAGCCGGTTTAGGTGCAGCCGGTTTAGCCGGTTCAGGCTTTTTCTCAGGTGGTTTAACAACTTCCACCGAAACGATATCTGCGTTACATATCTTCCTTAGCTTCCTCACGACTCTCGCTACATCAACTTCTCCAACCACCGTCATCTTCCCGGTTTTGTCCATTGCTATCGAAGTAACCCCTAAAAAAAAAATTAAAAATAATGTTTAATTTTCCAAAGTTATTGAAAGTAATTTTCATATTGTAAATCTTGAAAATTTATATGAACATACCTGAAAATTGAGAAACTGTCCCCCACGCCTTCTGTCTGATTCTTTCCTCGTGAACACTCAATTGCAATACAGATTTCTGTCATTTGAAAACCCGAAGATCATCAGTACAAACTAATTGCATAATTAACATTTTATAAAAACATAAGTATGATTGATAAGTTTCTATATATAACAATTAATTAAATTAAATATGAAAGAAATTAAGGGCTAACCTGCGCCATGGCTCAAGAAAACTGTAGAAAAGCTTCAGAAATTTCCGATTATATTTTAAAGAGAGAGAGAATGAGAGGATAGATAGATTGAGATGTCGAATCTTCTTGATGACAATTGCAAGTCCCAAAATGTCTATTATATATTAGAAATTTCAGAGGAATTTACGTGGAATTTAATATATGACCCACAAAAGTTTTGTATTTATTAAAAAATAATAAAGGCATAACGAACGACCACATAAAGAGTAAAGGGAGTCAATATCTATTAATTTATTAAATCAGGATCTGGTTGAAAAATAAAATCAATGGTACGATACGATGCAACGACGAAAGCAACAGGAAGAAGTGTCACTACTCATAAGGTCCCGTGTACGACCCGCACAACATTATTTGTTGACCTTGTTGACCTATTCGATCACGTAAGAACTTCTCAAGCAAGTTCTCTAGATTAAATTATGTTCTTAGAATATTTGTATTACATCAAAACGATAAATAAAATCAGAATCAAAACTGAGATTGAACTCACAACGGTTTTCCTTTTTATTACAAATTTTAAAGATGTTGGATTTACATTGTTTCTCCTTAGATTGCCTTTTAAATATAAGAAAACATAAATACGGAACATACTCTATTTAGATTCTTGTTTTATGTTACTTTAATAAAAAGATTATAAAAGGTCTGTTAATAAATGATTAAAGATCTATTTTGTTTGTTAGAAACACAACCATTTATAAATAGACTGTTTGTTCGAGACCCTATGTAAAGACCCGAAATGGGAATAAATTGAAGTATGCTCGTAGATAGCAAATGTGGTTATTTTTCTAATATGTTAGACTATTTATTTAAGTGTTAAATCATTGGTTTAGACTTAGTCATTCATATAGAAATTGTTGTTTTATTTGGCGGATCTTATTTAAAAAGAAATAGAGGTCTATAAATGGAGTGGACAAGAATCAAATAATTAGATATAACCAGATGAGGAAATGAGGCATAGATGTTGGTTTGGTGAGCAATTCGGCCAAACTCATATATAAAAGGTTTTTTTATTTGGGGGTTAAAATACATAAGGGATCTTAAGGTCTTTTTTTTTGGCAAAACTGAAAATTGAGTTTAGAGGACCCAAGTGTGGTGATCTAGTGGTAAAAAATCCAGAGATATAGTTGAAACTCGCTTTTCCTGGATTTGAATTTTATTAGGAACATGTTCACTCATACTTGGTCGATCGAAATTATACCATGCTTAAAATTTATTAGAAAACTTGGTGAACTGTCTACTTGATAGCTACTCACCACTTAATGATTAATTAGTTGGTCAATTTTGATTTAGTTTTGATTGATTTTGTGTTTTTTTTTATATAAGACTTTTTTTCCATTGCATTTAACCTCTTTAGTTTATTTTCTTTATATACAAGAAAAAACAGGTTGGACTAGTTTTTGGGTCGAAGCATCACGAGATGGAATGGATTATCTTCATGGCCTATTTCAGAATTTAAATAATGAGAGAGAAAATTAAGGTAGATTAGTTTTAGTTTCTTCATCCACATGATAATTAATTTTTGAAAAAGTCTCCCAACGCGTTAGTCATCTTTCGGATAAAAGAATAATTTTTTTTCACTTGGTTGAGATTTTTTACATCCCAAATCGTACAAAGACTACAAGTGGTACATGTGCTCCATGTTGACCGTGAGGAAACTGGGATCAAGATAATAAAACCGTATCGGGACGTAAAATGTGATCAAAATCTTGGGTCTTTAACTAATTTCAAGAACACCTGCTAAAATAACATTAAAATCCTTTTTTTTTCTTATATGAACTGTATTGGGACGTAAAGTGAAAGTGATGTAATAACCCAAAAGTTTTGGAACTTAAGTGAAATATTGATGGAGCCGCTTGGCCGGGTCCTAAGAAATCACCAGAGCAAATTATTGTGGATGGGAGAAAAATCTCTACAAAGGCTAAGGGCAAGAACGGTTATTATGACATAAGTTGAAGAGATGAAATGGGCCATAGTCACTATATCTCTAGGTTTGTTCACCGGAATATCATCTTTGAATCCAGTTTCAAGGAGCTCATCTCAATGATGAAAGAGGAATAAGTACGCTTTGATGGTTTCAAGTTGGTATTCTATGCAAAGGAAGGCAATGGAGGAGGGGTCGATAGAGTAGCTATATAATTTTTTTCATTTATAAATTATGTAATATTGTACCTAAGTTATTATACACTATAGTGCTAAGCATGGCCGTTTTCTAGCACGTTCAATTGAGCAGTGAATAAAATCCCAGTTCAAATACAAAAATTTATCTATATCTTTAACCGTAATATGAATTGCGACCTATATTATTTTTGTAAAACTATTTTACCATATTATTTGTACGTTTAATAAAAAAATTTGAACAGTGATTATCAATAGATTGACATGGTCCTAGAACCAAGATAAACCTTTGTAGTTCAGCATTTTATGGGTTAATGAATATTGATGTTGAGCCAAAAAGAAAAGAAAAATAAGGTATCCACTTGAATACAAAATTTAGCTCAACTTGCCACTAGATACTTGAATACTATTTTGGTTGTATCTAAGGTTCTTTTGTATTATTTTTGTTTACATACTTTCTCCAGAAAGCGAGTATTTAGAAATAATTGTAGGAGTAGCTGTAGTTTGTACTTTGTAATTCCTGTTCGAAGTTAATATTGAAAACCAAAAAAAGTGAAATATTATTAGGATTTCTTTGATTTTGTAATTTGTTTTACAGAGTTATTATTAGTTTATTATGATGTTCTTGTTTTAGATTAATTATAATATGGCACGTATAAATGATACATTATGATAGGCAAATTCTATTGTTAGTTGTGTTGAATTAAAATGTGGATATTTAGATTTAAATGTATTACTTTTATTATTACTTTTTCGCTTCAGTTTATAAAACGTTTTACTCAAAAGTATGGAGTTTGAGAAAAAAAAAACTATATGAACTATAACTTTGTTTTATATGAATTTTGGTAGACTTAATTACTAATCTCTCTCTTCCAGAAAGAGTGTCATGTTAGAATTCTATTTTTGTTGTACAAAGAGTGTCATTTTACATTTTTAATGTATAATTTTAAATATATATTTAGTTTTAATCTTTGTATTTTAATATACTAATTAGAGAGAGATTATATTGGTTACGGTAATGGAGACGGCATTGATTATTTGATTTGTTTGTGGTTTGGTAAATAACGATATGTATTGGTTGAATTGAATACCTCAATTTCATTATAAAATAACACATTAAAATCAGGTACTATGGTTTTGCATATGTTGTTTGGTGGAGATTGTTTGTCCTTGGTTGAGATCGCAGAGATTACAGCCAAAACATTCCCGTTTTCAGGTGTTGTTATATATTTATAGAGATTGTTCTGCTGCTGATAATAAATGATTTTGTTGATGGTGTGAAACTAATTTTCTACTGATTTGAATGGTTTGTAAACCGGAATATTGTTAAGTGTCCCGGTACATAAACATTGTTTGTTCCGAAAGTGGACCGTACGTGCTAATTGGTTAATCAAATTTGTTTGTGATTTTTGAAATTCATGTTTAGAACGAAACACCAAAGCTTTTGTTTTGTGAAAAAAAAAATCTGGTTTTTGAAGTTGAAAATATAACTTTCAAAGACGTAGGTTTTGTATCTCTCTTTCAAACAATATTTTAGAATTTCTCTGGAAATATTTGGGGTAATACAGTAACAACATATTAAAGCAAATGACTACTATATATGAAGCTGATGACTGCTATAGTAGAATTGGGTTCTGGTGCAATTTTTACCTTTTTCACAAGATGAGGCAAACATTGGGATTATCATCGTAATGATAGTAAGGTGGAGGAAATGATGAGGGGTATTGATAAATCACTTGTACTGGTTTTTGATCCTGTTTTGGTTCCTCAGGCTTCTTCTTCTCCGGTTCTTTAGCTGGCCCAACAGTGATAATCTCGGTATAACATATCTTTTTCAATTTCTTCACAATCATAAAGGCATCAATATCTCCGGTCACCGTTAGTTTACCTTCCTTCACGTCTACCGATTCAACTCCTTAATTATACATAAAAAAATAATAATGATGACTTAATATTTATGATAATTTTGAGGCTTATGGAGAGTATAATAATCTACTCCCGCTGCTTTTTGATAGTTTTATGTTTTGAGATTTATTTTGGTTTCGAAAATATTGATTTTCTAGATTATATATAATATATTCCCTTTTTAAGAATAACTAATAATAGTTTTTTTGGGTAAAAGAATATGAAAAGTCAATATTAAATTGTAAAACAAATAAAAAGTAACTTATAAAAGTAAATAATTATTGTTTTAAATATCTATAAAAAAACTAAAAAATCAAACTTTTAAAAAGTAGTATTATTAAGTAACCATTGTTGAGTGTACCTGAGATATAACCGACAGTCGCCATAGCTTTTTTCTTGATTTTTTCACAATGAACATCCAATTTAAGTACAGCTTTCTGTCATAAGAAAATAAAATATAAAACACAATCAACAATTAATTAAGATAGTATAATGACGTTTGATCTATTATTAATTATACATAAAAGCAAAGAAAAATTCGGAAGAATCTATACATACTCCTTCTGTTTTTTTTTTATAAGATGTTTTAGAAGTTTTTTTTGGTTCAAAATTAGATGATGTTTTCAGAAATCAATGTAAAAATTAATTATTCCAACTGTTTAAATTCTGCATATTACCTTTCTATTGATTGAATTATTATAGAATTAATGTTTTATTAAAAAAAGGAAATTAAATCATTTCTTAGTTTATGTGCAAAACCTTTAACATCATACATAAAAAAAATTGAGGGAATATTAGACAATCTTGAAGTTGAGAAAAATATTAAGTAAAGATAAAGAGTCGAACCTGCATTTTTTCTTCAATTAATGATTAGAGAATAAGTATGTCTTGGAATTTGGTTTGCTAATGAGCTTTGGAGTTGTCCCCTTTATATAAGCAGTTGCCATTTTGGATTTTTTTTTTGTTTAAAAAACGACTAAATAAATCACCATCCAAGTTTTCAGAAAAACCAAATTCTACGGCAAAATCAAAAACCAAATATCATACAAACCATGCATCACCATAATTGGACAAGGTCACGCAGAAAAGACAACCGTTGTTTCCTTTTGATGTAGAGAAAGAAAAAATTCGAAATTATATGTGTCTTATATAACGATATATTATTTTTTGTATTTGCACCACGCATATATGCAATAGTTATTAGACTTTTTTAAATTTAATTTAATGTGTTTTTAAGAGTTTTCTACATTTTAACCAGTCAACTTATAAAGTTTTACAAAATACTCCTTCAATCTGTCAAAAATGTAGGTGAAACCTTCACTTCCCAGTCAACGCGCAATACAGTCCACTAAACAAAAATTACTGTTCAAATAACATGTTTTCATCTTGGTAAAGTTGATCTGTCGAATTACGTTCAAAAGGCTCCAGAACTAAGATACCACTCTTAAGAAGAATTGCAACAGATATCACAAGAAAGAGTTTGATTAGTTTTACAAAAAAAAATAGAAGTTATTAGAGTAACTAAAATTGGATTTACTTTAAAATTATACGATATGAATCATTAATTTATTTTGGTGGAAATGATCAAGTCCAACATAAAATTTGACCAAGAAGGCGAGATTAGAGTTGAATAAACTAAAATGGACATATTGACAAGTTTGCAGCGACTTCATAGAAATAAGTCTCCAAGTGTAGGAATAGTTGTGCACCAAGATTTATATTTGGAACTTCCAAACTTTTATACAATTTCCATTGAATATGAATATTCCATTGCTGAAGTTAATTTACCGTATAAACAAAAGATTATATCTTATTTTTGGCTTGGTATCCAATTACAGAGTTGTTAATAATTTATATTAGAACGAAAAAACGGTAAATTCGATAATAAAAACAGTATGAATCAAGTCACCATTTTAGACTTAGACTAAGCATATTTATATTGGCTTCGTGAAGCTGCTTTGCTTAATTGATTCTCCATTGTAGAAAAGTATGATTCATATGAGACAAACAACGTTCACTCTCCAGCGTGACCCGCAAGGAAAGGCAAATATGCTTAGTCTAAGTTGAAAATGTAGTATTTGTAGTTATTACTGAAAGTGACACCGAGATTATGGGATGATAACATGTCTCTTCTAGATTAATATTCTACACCACAAATTTATCTAGGTCTCATGTTCCTTACAAAAGTCCATCTTTATTGCAAAGTTGTGTGTATATAGTTTGAGATTTATAGAGAGCACAATCTGAAAATAGGGTGAAGATCCATCAAGAATACTTATAGGCAATAGCAAATATATAAAAAGGAATTGTAAATTTTCAAGTAGTTTTTTTTTTCATTATGTTGAAAACTTAGTTTAGATATATTAATTAGTCTTATCAACCATTAGTAAAAATATTTGGGTAAATTATGTTTTTAAAGGATATACTTTAAACCTTGTTTTAATAGAGAATGGTGTATTTAATTTAAAAACAATACCTATAATTTCTCAGGAAGACTTGAGTATTCTGCCACCACAAGTCAAGAAACGAAATATCCTCGTAAGCCTCATTTCAATATGTGGAACCCGGTCGTCGTAGAAAGACAAGAAATTTTGATTACCAAAATGTAAAAGAGACAACTGAATCTTCCGTTTCGATTGGTTTAAATAACAACTAGCCACGTCCATCCCGATTTCAACATCTTTAGTTGTCATGTGGATCATCAACCAAACAATTTCCAAAGCAGAGTACAGGTTTGAGTCAAGAATATTTCAACCGAAACTTCGTTAACTAGTGTCCATAGAAATATTTGTGTCCACGATGCCTAGCTGAAGTAATGGTTGAAGCACCAACTACTTCTTAAGAAGGATCCAGAAGCAACTCCAGTTCAAGTGGTTTGGAAAGGACCAAAAACAAATGACGACGACTCAGTTCCAGAGTCAGAAGAAAATTTTAAAAGTAATGGGTTTGTTTTACTAGGAAGCATACTGTCGGAGTCATAAGAGGATCTAGACCATTAACTGGATTTAAGTACACATACTAAGTCATAAACTACTAAAGAAGACAAATCGCGAAACACACAAAAAAGAAAGAAGATTTTTTGAATTACGTTATGATTTGATTCTAAAACGGGTACGTAGCCAATTCGCAAAGTCAAATACGGTTATAAACAATATAAATGAAGAGAAGAGTTCTTATTTATTATTCTAAGAGATACTTCTAAAAATTCATATTAAAACATGACGTATGGAAGATCAAATCATGTTAGTGCCAGAAACGAGGCTTCTACATGATTTCTAAGAATATTCGAAAAATAGCTTCCATTTTTAGGGTATAAATTCTATAAACTCATATCATATCATACATGATCTAGAATATTCTGAACTTTTTTAAAACCATCAGTTGTGATTGTCATGAGATAGTGATTTTAAGAAGTCTCAGTCTTTTAATTAATCTCAATCTACAAACCGATATCACTCAAAGACCACAGTTTGGATGATCAAATCTTAAGGCAAACAAAAACATGTACATAGAAAGCCAATATATAATAAATACCACGACAAATAAATAAAGGCACAAACTTTATTACAAGAAAATGGGATGAAATTCAGGTCCAAAACTAATCTAACGAAAAAATCTGCATGGTTCCAGCTACTTAAGACTCATAAAACAGAATTTATATGCCGTTCCTCCTTTGCTATGCAGCTGATTGCGATTTCTTTGGTCGTGTTTATGTAAGACTTTGGCCTCCCGTGAATGTACTGGCTTCGCTTGGTAGTGTTCGCGTGGTTGTAGTGCCTTGTCCGCTTGATAGTGTCCGACGAACTTCCTGTGCAGCGTGTCCTGCTTGAACCTTGTGCTAACCCTTTTGTCGTTTCCCCTTCTGCATCAAATGGTTTAACAATAAAAATATTAGATAGATTGCCAATATGTAATAAACACCACATTTTTATTTTATTTTTCAGCACAAAAGGAAGCAATCTTTGTTTTAGAAGATGTGATGAAAGTTCTAGCCCTAAACCGAGTACGTGTGCTAAAAAATGTGATGAGTTCTGTGATATACCGTTTTTGACTTTTTTCCATGTTGGGCAAGGTCCTCATACGAATTATACGGATTCCTATGGGCATACAAGTCACTTGAGTTCTTTGGCTTCCATTGGTTAATATCCACTTTTTGTTTGTTTTTGTTCTGGTCCTGATGCGGCTGCTTGAACCGAGATTGTCAACCCCGCGGCAGGAGTCGATTTCGAGCGTTCTCTCAAAAGTTTTGGCTGGCAACGCTTGACATAATACGGTTGATTCCTCCGGGGAGCGTTGTTGGGAGCTTGGAGCTGCTAGTATCGGCTCGCTTGCCTTCTCTCTTCTGCAGGTACTTCAAGTCCTCATTTAGAAACTCCTCCCATTTTGGGTTATTCTTTTTTGGAGTCCCATGTTCATCTATCATCTCAACATTTTCATCTATCTTCCTTAGTTCCTTCATCATTTCAAGCTTGTCAAATTCTCCCGTCACCTTTAGTTTGCCTTCTTCTTCATTGACGTCTATCGAAGTAATCACTCCTAACAAGTAACAACACCGATAATTATTGCTTTATTTTTTCTTTTTAGCATAAAAACATTAAGAAAAAAAAAAACTCTGTATGTCAATATCTTGCCATAGGTTTAGCAAAAAAAAAAAGTTTGTGTTGGTGTGTACCTGGAAACTTGGAGGCGACAACTTCTATAGCTTCCTGTTTGATGCTTTTATCAAAAACCTCGAACTTGAATTCAACTATCGCCAGCAAATCAGCAGTTCATGGTATAAGCAAATTATACGTATACGCAATTTATAACCTTATCAGATGTAGATATTTTATAAGGCCATTGAAATTTTAGTTTCTTGAAACTAATCTGAAAATTGAAAAAACGAACCTGCATTTTTCGGGAAATAAAAAAGATTGGATAGTGAAGAGAGATAACATAAAGGAATATGATTGTAACCTCTCAGCTTGCTCATAAACCTTTGCTTCCCCGTATAATACTTCTACGACCTTTTGTCCTAGCTAGTGAATACTATATAACAGTAAAAATTAGTTAAGCCATCGGAGATAGAATAGGAAATAGTCAATTTTGTAGGATTAAACTAAGACGACTTCAAACATTTCTTGAGTCTTTCTATATAATAAAAGACGAATAAAAACATTTCTCTATCGAGTCTTTCTAAATAATAATAGATGTGTTAGACTTGAAACATTTTTCGTCTTTCTATATAATATAGATCGATGTTTAGAGTGTGTCTGGCTTCAACTAATGCCGTGTTATAATAGTATTAGTATAAGAACAATTAAAGTCAAGACGTAAGGGGTATAAGGAAGATCCTCACAATATCTTTCAAAGCTAGGAAATATCCAATATATCGTAAATAAATTTTTAAAAGAAAAACATCGAGATGATTTGGGTAAAGAAGTACATACACTCCTACTTTAAGCTCACACATGGTTTTTTCCCAGAAGTTTAATCTTAGAAACAGTTTATATATCATAAGTACATACATATCATCCTATTTGAGTGTTTTTGTTAGGGCATGTAAACGTTAGTTGTTCCATATAACCTTATACTGTTAACAGAACATTAGATCAGGTATTGTGAGGATCAATGAGCGAAATCAGGTATAACGTTATACATACACGCATCTATACTTGAGTTGTTTCGCATTGTACAATAAAAAACCTATGACCTCAAATTGTGATCAAGAGAATAAGGAGGAATAATGAATTCATCTTCATTTCTTAAAAAAGGTTACCAGTTGCTAATTATAATGTTTTCTTAACATTCCTTTTTATCCCTTATCATTTAAAGAATTATAGAACAAATGTATTCCTTATAATTTAGAGAAAAACAGTATATATATATATATATATACTTTTTATATATATTTGATTCTTTTCATTTTGTTTATTTCATTCTTTTCATTTTCACTAAGGATGTTGCCGCGCTACGCGCGGATTGTTTTCATAAATATTTAATTATTGATTTTTATTTTAGTGAATTTTTTTTAACTGTAAATTAATATTTTATATATAATATTTATTTTTAATATTATTTTGATGTGGTCATATATCTAAAAAAATTTAACGTTTTTGAAAACTATTTTATAATTTAATTTAAGAATTTACTAACTTTGATATATGTAGAAATTAATTGTTAATCTAAAACTTAATATTTATATATAAACTCATTATTGCTCACCAACTTTCAAACTACTATTATTTTTTTTTGTTTTAACTAAATTTGATATATAATTGAATTTAACAATTATAAGTTTTCTGTTTATTGTATTTTTAAAAACGAATTCATTAAAAAAATTATTTATCAAACATATGACTACTACTAAAATACATATATTTTGTTCTAATTAATTTAGGTTTCTTTTCATTTCAATTGTGTTCGTGTTATGGATTTTTTTATGAGTAGTCTTAAATACAAAACAACAATCAATGTTCAAAACTTTTACAAATCCGTATAAGAACTATTTTTCATATAAATAAATCATATTAAATAAAAATAACATTTACATATTATACAAAATCATAATCATATTGATAAACTATATTTTTGATTTGGTCGCTGAAGCATCGGTAAACTATATAAGAGTAGATGAATAAAGCATGTAATATGTATACAAATGCAGCTTCATACTAACTCATTCTATTAAACAAAGTATGTCGAGTTTCTCAAAACTCAAAATGTGTAAAAGGTTCATTTGAATTTGCTTGTAATTTAACTTAGATATTTTTCTTACACTGCATATATATATATTGGTGATATTTTATATTTAAATTAATATTTAAAAGAGTTTATTAACTAAAAAAATATATTAGTTTTCCTTACATGTTGAGTTTGTAAAAAATTTCTTTTTTGTTGATGTAGATGGTTAGAGAAGTTTTTATGACATTTTATTTTATATAAAATTATATATATATATATATATAATATTTTTAAATATGGAAGTGTAACATATTAATGTTTAATATAAAGCTATGCAAGTCTATCTTTACATATGCATGACTATACCGATGATTCATACTATACTGTAATTAATTTAATTTATGCCTAAAAGTATTTAGCCAAAAATATAAAAATAGTATGTACATAATCATACATATTTGATCTTTTTAATTATTATGTGGACGAACTAAGTACCTCATAGTATTATATCTTTTCAATTTTTAGTTTAAACATATGACTATTATTAATTTGGGTTGTAAAAATTTAAAATATTATATATAATATATTTTTTATTAAAATCAAGTTATATGTCTTATGTTTTGTTACTACATAGTACATACAATTTAATCATTATACAGATATCACTATTATTGTTGGTTAAATACTATTTAATTTTAAGCATGTTATTAATATATTGAAAATTATTTTTATTAGAAGTTTGCTGATGTGGCATAATTATAGAGATTTTTGTTTTGATGATCTGGATGGCTTTAAGAGCTCCAAACATGATTTATACATATGCTGCATGATGCCACCATCAATATTCTAAACTCTTACAAATCCATAAAATAACTATTTTTATATCAATAAAAGCAACATTTGCATAGTAAGTATACAAAATCACAATCATATTAATAAACTGTAATTTTTATTTGGTTCCTGAAGTATATGTAAACTATAGAAATGTAGATGAATAAAGCAAGTAATACATATATAAATACAATTTCATACTAACTCGTTATGTTAAACAAAGTATGTCAAGTTTCTCAAAACTCAAAAAGTGCAAAATGTACATTTGTATTTCACTTATAACTTAACTTAAATATTTTCTCAAACCATACATATATTTTGATGAGTCTTTATAAATAAATTAATAATATTTATTATATTATTTTTAAAGGAGTTTCTTAACCCAGAAAAACCATATTAGTTTTCCTTACATGTTGAGTTTGTAATGAATTTATATTTTGTTGATGTGGATGGTTAGGGATGTTTTAGCCATTTTATTTTACATAAAAAATATATAGTTTATTTTTTAAATATAAAAGTTTAATATATTAATATTTCAAATAGAGTTATGCTAGTCTATTTTTTCTGTATTGCATATATTTTTGTAATAAGTAATGTATAAGTAAAGTTTTATAAGTATATCTTTGTAGAGAGAATAGATAATTTTGTGTCCATATATGTAAATTACAGTTGTGTTAATTTGAAAAAAAAAAAATTTATTTATTTGTTATGTATATAATCTGTATGTTTCTAAAAGGTGAATGTTTTAGATTTTTTCTAATTTGTGAATGTTTTAAAAATTTTTTTAGAAATTATTATTTTGTAATCTTGTTTCTATTAACTATTATTTAAGTTTTTTTTAGAGTAATTTGTTGTCCAATATATTCATTATATTACAAAAAGGAGTATGTATCAATGTTGTAGATTAAAATGATATTTATTTTACTGATTCAAAAAATTATATTTAATTTTATTTAGTGTTTGCTAATAACTATACTTTGCTGATGTGTCAAGTTTAGAAAGCTTTCTAAAAAGCTGAGGTGTATAGCTTTAGAAGCCCCAAACTCCTCTTTTCATTTAGTATAGACTAGGGATTTCTCCGCGCTATGCGCGGGATGTGTAATTATTTTATTTCGATAATTAATTGTGATTTAAATCAATTAGTATATTGTTGATATTAGATTGGTAGCTAATATTTAGATTAAATTGTATTTATTATGTATTGTTTGATTTAAATGATTTGTATTTGTTTTATATGTGTGTTATTTTTATTATTTTAGTAAGGAAAAAATATGGTGGCAGCGTAAGACTTCTGAATTATCTATAGGTAATGTGAAATATATAAATTATGGTAGGTTGATAATGATGTTCAGTGTATTAATTTGGAAGTAGATGCATGAGACTTATTATTTATTTAGTAATGCAATTTTATTGAACAAAATTGAAGATGTATCATAGTTGATTTGATTTTGCTGTGAGGTCGTTAATTAATTAATGTTGTATGTTGCGAAAAAATTTTGTGAAGCTTCAATATATGATGTGTGTAGAGGGGGTGAAGAAGAACATTGTTAGTAGAGTAGAATGGAGCTGTAGTTTTCCTGCATTTATTTTGGAGTATTAAGTTGTGTAGTTAAATCTAGTTGGATAAATTAAAAAGTGATATGTAAATAACATATTTCAAAGTTAATGTCTTTGTATATTTTTGGATTGACGCTTGTGATAAGCATGGTTGTATACTTTCTGTCTTTGATGTTGAGTGTATGGCGGAAATTTGCTGCTTATGCATCCCATATTAACAGTCTGATAATATTGTTCCTGTAAATTAAATTTGTGAGTAATTTTCTTTTTTTCTTCTTTTTTCTGTATATGAAGTATCTGCTTAGCTGTAAGCCTACCAAAACCTTTGATTTTGAGTTTTGGTTTTTCAGATCGGAACCCTGAATGATGCGGATGTTCCCGAGGACATCTAATATTATTTTGGAAGTGTAATTTTAAGATAATTATAGCATAAAAATATTGAATTGGGGAAAGAAAATGTTGTTATTTAAATTGCTTTACCTGGTAGCTCGTCTCTTGTACCCGCAGTCTGTAGTAGTTGTTTGTAGCTTTTGATGGAGAATTTGTTGGTAGGTATCTGAGGTAAATTTTCCTTCACTTCGAGAAATGTAGTTTGTCGGGTGAAGCGAATGACATGTTGATGAGGAGTGAGTTTATATCTCCGATTATTTTCAAAAACTATGAATTTGGAAAGCTCATATATCAACCCCGCGTTTAATTTATGTTGTTGCAGTTCAATTATTGATAAATGCATCTCGATCACTATACCCTGTGAGAATTGTTATGACTTAAGAAAATATGTAAAAAAATTTGTTTTAATAAGGGAACTTAATGTCTTACGTTTGCATCAATGAGTAGATAGACGGATCCCATTCTTTGATCTTCGTTTGTGTGGACGAATGTTTCTATGATGCGAAAATGCGAACAATGATTCTCCCTTCGTAATCTCTTGAACATAAATTTGATAAATCTGTGTATTTTGCGGGCCTGTGTTGCTGCACCAGTCCGGCTGAAAAATGATAAGATAAATGTTGCTTTATTTAGTATGTGTTATAGCTTAATATATATCATATTATGAAGAAGTGATTACTTTTGCATGCGTTGTGTTCTCCCTGGTTTGAGAGCCCATCTTTGTTTTTTTTTTCTAGTTAGCATAGGTATATATTTTTTTTTCTGGTTTTGGCTCCTGTTTCTTAGCGGATCTGTTTAATGATTTTTATATGTTGTTCGTAGTTTGCGTATTACGGTTTGATATTTAGTGTAATTGAATGATTTTTGCTGGGTGAATATTATTGATTATTGTGAATTTATTTGTTGGGTTTTGAGAATGTTAATTTGGGGAGTGAATATTTTATTTTCTTTTGTGAAGTTGGTTAGATAACGTTTCAAAATTATAATAGTTTGTTGCTTTTTTGTAAGTGTATTGTGGTGTCAGTTTAAAGAAATTCGGATATTTGTTTTTATTTTATGAGTAATGTACTTAACAGTCTGTTGATATTTCTTAGTATTTGGTAAAAAGGGTTTTTCTGCATGATGCTCTATAATTGAAATCATGATCTAAATTTGACGTGACCAAATTGACATATGGGCCTTATATTACTTTGTTTATTCTGGGCTTGGATTGTATTTGTGTTGTTCCTCCTTAAATAATTTATGGAGGTCATGGTGAGAAGGGAGTAAATATCTTTATGTACAACAAATACCCGTTAAGGACATCACGACGGCTTGTGAAAGCCTGAAACATATTATTCCGTGTAATTAGTGAAGACAAACTGTACAAAAAAAAACTTTGAATGTGAGGTTTTTGTTTATATCATTGTATAGGTGTTGTGTGTACATCTCTTATACGTGCAACTTTTTTAAGAAAATATGTGATTGCAGCATATATGCATTCAAAGAGATCAGATGAGTATAAAGGAGAAGAGTAGAGAAGATGTATAAAGATGATTAGCGTCTTCGGAGATGTATTTAAAGATCACTTGCCCTATATATTGGGCAATTTTTCTTTGAATACAACCAAGTGACAATACATTCATGGTGGAATAAGTGAGTACATGTTAGTTGGTTTATATTGTTTCTTCCTTTCAATGTCTGTAGACAGATTGAGCATTCATCTGTTTCCTCCTCAACAGTCACATAATTTTTTTCACTCTCCAAAGTGGCGATGAGAATGTCTGTGTCGATCCTGGATGTAGCCTGGAAATTGTTATCTGTAACTGTAAAATATATATCAATGGCCGTACCTCTTTGACTGTGTGTTGATATTAGCACTGCAGCGATGAATCGGGTAAATATTTTGCCATTCTTAAAGCGTCCGTCTCTCCAATTTTGTGATACGTTAGTAGAAATTCTATGTTTCTTCTTATTGGTGTAGATGATATGTCACTTTGTTGTGTGAGTGGTCGTTTGATAAGGAGATGGATTTTGCTTGATGTGTCGGTATCATCGGCCCTTGTTGCATATGAGAAAGAGTTGCTTACACGTTGTGGGTCAGCCATTTTGTTTGCTATGTGTAATATATTTGGCAAATCATATTTTGATGTAAACCATTTTACTATTTATAGGAGGTATTTGTTATTGCTATGCTGTTTCGAATTTCTTTTGTCAGGTTAGGAATTTATTGGCTCTTTAATTTGTGTAATTAGTAATTAGTACATATAAGTTATTGTTTATTTTAGTTTGGTTTCTGTTTTGGTAGGGTATATGGACGCTGTGTAATAGAGTAGTTGGTCTGTTTTTCGTTTGATTGTATGAAGGTAGTAGTCATAATAGATAGATTTAGATTTTGTTTTGTGGTTTGTTTTTGAAGGTGGACTATATTATAAGATAGTCATTTGTATTTTATGTGTTCTTCCGTTTGTAGTTTAATTTTTTTTTCATAGAAGTGATTATTGTATATTTTAAAAAAATGATAGTGATAGAAATTCTGTAAATTATCAGACAGATGGGGAGATAAATGTGGTAAACCGATGTGTCGTCAATGATGTGGTAATTAAAATTGGAATCCTGAACGTTCAATTGCCTCTCCTTTTTATGGAGTCCGTCTAGAAGAAGAAGTTGGATTATTATTAGTCCATATGTGCATTTATTAATGTTGTAAGTAGATATTTAGTATTTATTTAAATAATTGGTAGTACTTACTATGATAAGCCGACTACTTATGGTTTTCAACTTGTTATTTTTTTTTTAATTTTTCAACTTTAAGAAAGTGATGCCACTTGGTATTGTGAGAGAGTTTTTTTTGCTTAGGTGGATAGCCTAAAGAGCCCTAAATAATCCTTTTTATTTAATATAGATTCATGTTCTTTTTTTATTGGTCACAAGTTAAAGCATATATTTGACAAATTGACCCTTTAACAAAAACTAATAATATATATATTTGACAAATTAAATACCACAACAAAAAAGAACACAAACTTCACTTTAGAAGATGAGATGAATTTTCTAGTCCAGAACACAAACTAATGGAAATGTTTGATACCCGTTCAGTTTCTTTAGACTTAGAATAGATCATTTAATTTCCGTTGTTCCCTTTCTTTGCAGCTGATTCTTTTTTTCCTTTTTCTGCCCTACGGTTCTCTTGCGTGGATGCACTTGTTTGTCCGGTTCGTAGTGTTTGCGTGGATCCACTGGCTTCTCCGGTAAATATTGTGGGTCGTATGGTGTTCCACCAACTTCCTGTGTTGCTTGTCGCCGTTGAACCTTGTGTCGTTCCTCCTCCTGCATATTAGATGGTTAATTAACACAAATCTTAAGTTAACTAACAAAAACAATACGACAACACAATGAGGAGACAATCTTTATTTTACAAGATGAGATGAAATCATAGTCCAAGAACTTAGTAGTCCATGGAGCTCAAACCGATCACCAGCCTCAAAATAAAAAGCGAATAAACTAGAGAAAAAAGGGTATGATGTATGTTCATAAGGTTAAGATGATACAAGCACCTGAGTTCTTAGCTAAAGCTTGTTTCCTCATCTTCTCCTTCTCCTCCATGATCCTCGCCTGCTCCTGCCGTATCTTCCTTTGTTTCATCTGTTCTTCCTTCATCCATTCACCGTGGAGACGTGCTTCTTTTTGCCTTTTTCTTTGTTCTAAATATCCTTTTACACCCTCAATGATGCCTCGTTTCTTCTGTGGGTAAAGTTCATCCCAACCAAAACGTTTACCTCCATGCTGAGGCTGTGGCTTTGGCTTAATCTCTTTTTCTTTGTTTTTTTCTTCATAGCTATGTATAAGTCCAACCGCACCCGCACCGATAGCTTTTGCTTTCTCAGCCGCACCAACACCGATAACTTTCGCCTGCTCAGCCGCACCCACGCTGATAACTTTTGCCTACTCAGCCGCACCCGCACTGATAGCTTTTGCCTGATCCCACCATCCGTATGCTTGCGGTCCTGTCCCGTTTGATCTGCCAGCATCATCATCGGACGGCGTACTCCCTTCTTCTATATTGTTAGGTCGTTTGCCTTCATCTTTGCGGTGGTGGTTGACTTCTTGCTCCGGTTCTTCATCTGGTCCAATCTTGACTGTCTCAACAGATTCATCTATCTTCATTAGTTCCTTTGTCAACTCAAACGTACTAAATTCTCCCTTCACCACTAGCTGACCTTCTCCTTCAACGTCTACGACCGAAGTAACTCCTAACAAAATCAAAATAAAGACTTTTTTTTTTTAAATTATATATGAAACTTGGACCAAAAAAATTGGTTTTACAAAATTGCTTCTTCTTCTTCTTCTTGAGCGCTATAGATGAGTTTTTGTCATAACATTTAAGTCGAAGCAAGAGCCAAAGTGATTATTTATTGGTTAATTTTAGTAAGCCTAAATAGATTAAACTTCTTTTTTCTGTATGTAAACTGGATATTATGCCATCATTTGTTTAATGTGACCATAGATTAGTATACCTGGAAACTCCCTGGCAACTTCCGTAGCTATCTGTTTGATGCTTTCATCAAAAACTTCGAACTTGAATACAACTATTTTCTGGAAATTAAATTAGCAGTTCATGGTATAAGCAATAACTCATATCACACACACTATATATAAGCAATTGAAATGTAATTTCTTAAATCTGTTTTGAGAATTGGAAAAACGAACCTTCATTTTCGGAAAATTGAAAAGATTGGAGAGTTAAGAGAGATAACATAAACCAGGAATATGATTACAACCTTGCAGCTTGCTCATGAAAACTTTGCTCCCCCGTTTATTTATACGATATTTTGTTTATGACTAGTGAATATAATAACTATTTGTCAAGTCAAGTCGGAGCTAGAAAACGAAATAGTAAATTGTGTACGATAAAAATCCAGACGATTACAAACCATTTAAATCCTTCTAAATGATAGATAATTAGACTCAAAACATTTTGGGTCTTTTTATATAATAGATGGTTAAAATAACAACAACTTGAATAGATGGTTAGAATAATAACAATTTGAGTCTTTCTCTATAATAATAAGGTCAGAATGTGGCTGTGTCTCTTACTTTAATGGCTTTAACTAATACCGTGTTATGATATACATATGCGACATTTTTTGTGTCGTTATCTCGATAATGTAAAAACAATTGCAGTCAGGATATATATATGGTTTTTGTCCCAGAAGTTTAATCTTTGAAACAGTTTATATATCACATGTACATACATATCATCTGATTTTAGTGTTTTTGTTAGGGCATGCATAAAAGTTAGTTGTTCCATATAACCTTATACCATACAAGCATCTATACTTAAGTTGTTTCGCATTGGAAATGACTTTGGTACAAAACTCAAATCTTATTCCCCTATTTATTGTATACAGTATATTTCTCTTACTCTTCTCTCTCACAATACTGTTCAGTGCATGGTATATACGTTTACTATTATGACTTGGTACAAAAGTCAAATCTTATTTCCTTCTTTTTTTTTTTTTTTTGGTATAAGCTGAATCGACTATTCATAGTGATTTTCAAGAAGACTCGATTTTTTTTTTTTGTTTTTTCTTTTTAAATTGAAGAAGACTCGATTTTTAATTAACCTCTATCAACAAAACGATATCACTTAAGGCAAACAAAAAAGAACACAAACTTCACTATAGAAAACAAAAAAGAACACAAACGATATCACCACAACTTGGATGATCAACTCTTAAGGCAAACAAAAACAATAGAAAATCTATATTTGACACCACAACAAAAAAGAACACAAACTTCACTTTAGAAGATGATATTAATTTTTTAGTCCAGAACACGCTAGTCCATGGACTCAAAACGTTTTCTAATGAAATGTTTGATACCCGTTCAGCGTCTTTAGACTTCGAATAGATCATTTAATTTCCGTTCTTCCCTTTCTTTGCAGCTGATTCTTTGTTTTCTTTTTCTTCCCTACGGTAATCTTGCGTGTATGCACTTGTTTGTCCGGTTCGTAGTGTTTGCGTGAATCCACTGGGTTCTCCGGTAAATATTGTGGGTCGTATGGTGTCCCACCAACTTACTGTGTTGCTTGTCGCCGTTGAACCTTGTGTCGTTCCTCCTGCATATTAGGAGACAACAAAATGAGGAGACAAACTTTTTTTTTATCACAACCTTTTAAAAACATTTATAAATAAACTAAATAAAATTTTGATGTGTGTTCACAAGACAAGATGATACAAGCACCTGGATGGTTTGCTAAACCTTGTTTTCTCATCTTCTCCTTCTCCTTCTCCTGCCAGATTTTCTTTTGTTTCATCTCTTCTTCCTTCCTTGCTAGATCTTGTTTCCTCTTCTTCTCCTTCTCCTTCTCCTTCTCCTTCTCCTGCCAGATCTTCTTTTGTTTCATCTCTTCTTCCTTCCTTGCTAAATCTTGTTTCCTCTTCTTCTCCTTCTCCTGCAAGATCCTATTCCTCTCCTCCAAGATCTTCTTTTGTTTCATCTCTTCTTCCTTCTTTGCTAAACCTTGTTTTCTCATCTTTTCCTTCTCCTTCTCCTGCCAGATCTTCTTTTGGTTCATGTCTTCTTCCTTCAGCCATTCATTGCGGCGACGAACTTTTTCTTGCATTTTTCTTCTTTCTAAATATCCATATACACCCCCAGCCGCACCCACACCGATATCTATTGCTTTCCCAGCCGCACCCACACCGATATCTATTGCCTTCCCAGCTGCACCCGCACCGATAACTTTTGCCTGCTCAGCCGCACCCGCACCGATAGCTTTTGCCTGATCCCACCATCCATATGCTTGCGGTTCTGTCCCGTTTGAGCTGCTGGCGTCATCATTGGAAGGCTTACTCGCTTCTTCTATGTTAATAGGTCGTTTGCCTTCATCTTGCTGCTGGATCTTGACTTGAGGCTCCGTTACTCCATCTGTTCCAATCTTGAATGTCTCAACAGATTCATTTATCTTCTTTAGTTCCCTTGTCAGTTCAAACGTACTAAATTCTCCCCTCACCTCTAGCTGACCTTCTCCTTCAACGTTTACCACCGAAGTAACTCCTAACAAAATCAAAAAGTTTTTTTTGATGAGAATGTAAATTTGTTTTTACGCGGAACGCATCTTCTTTTCGAGAGCTAGATGGATTTGTATCATAACAATACAGTAGAAATAAGAGCCAAAGTGATCAATTATTGCTTATTTTTTTTGAAAGGCTAAATAGATTAGACTACTTTTTCTAGATGTAATTGTACACTGAATATTCCTGCTATCATTTTTGGTTTAATATAACCATACATTTTGGCTTGTGTACCTGGAAACTCCCTGGCAACTTCCGTAGCTATCTGTTTGATGCTTTCATCAAAAACTTCAAACTTGAATACAACTATTTTCTGCAAATTAAATTAGCAGTTCATGGTATAAGCAATAACTCTTATCATATATGTACAATATTAAGCCATTGAAATGTAATTTCTTGAATCTGTTTTGAAAAATTGAAAAAACGAACCTTCATTTTTGGAAAATTGAAGAGATGGGAGAGTGAAGAAGATAACGTAAAGGACGAATATGATTGCAACCTTGCAGCTTGCTCATAAAATCTTTGCTTCCCCGTTTATTTATACAAAATTTTGTTTTTGACTAGTGAATATACATTAGTCAAGTCATCGGAGCTAGAAAATATAATAGTTATTTGTGTACGATAAAAATCCAGATGAATATAAAATTTTAAATCCTTCTATATGATAGGTAGTTAGATTCAAAACATTTTGGGTCTTTTTATATAACAGATTGTTAAAATAAAAACAACTTGAATCTTTCTATATAATAGATAATTGGAATAATAACAATCTGAGTCTTTCTCTATAATAATAAGGTCAGAATGTGTCTGTGTATCTTACTTTAATGGCTTCAACTAATACCGTGTTAAGCCATTGTAAGTACTTTAATGGCAAACTAATAACAATGGCTTCAACTAATACCGTGTTATAAATGGCTTTTATGGCTTCAACTTAGGTCAGATTAAAGTCATGACGTTTTATCAGTAGGTTTGGCTTCTAAAAATTAATCCATTAAGGAGAAGATTGTTGATGTATTGGTGAGTGGTTTGAAAACCAGCTGTAACAGGCTATAATAAGACGGAAGGATAGCATTGATACAGACTCTGAGATAATACATATTGTGTGCTACAGGCCTAAGAAAGTATTGACAAAGATAGTGTGGCAGAACTTACACACAAGTTGAGGTAGTACTTGATAAAGGTATCAACACAGAATATAATAATGTTGTGATGATTAGAAGAATGCTGTTGGATATATCATCAGAAAACGTGTTCAGACAAGGACTTGACATTGCTCAAAGATGACATGGCAAGTGGCTTATTAAGCTGGACCAAGTTGGTGTCTTCCTTGTCTCAGATTTGTTTGAGAAAATTAGATCTATGATGCTCCTAAATTGCGAATGATCGTTGATAGTGAAATCGCATGCTCTCATGATGTATACTAATACTATGGCTTTTCCTTTATTTCTCTAGCAACAACTTTTTTTTTGCCGTTTTTTATGAGCACTTGTTTACTCAAATATGGTAACATGGCTGCTGCTTACTACCTGGTATCAAATTTTTCCAGTTTTTAAATGGGAAATTTGCATTTTAAACCTTCAAAGTGGCAAAAGTTAGCACTTTTAACTTCAGAAGTATAACCCTAACACTTTTAACCCTCAAGTTAATTTTACTAGCACATTAAATCGTCAAAGTAACATCTTGCTATGGTCTGTTGGAATTTTAAACGGAACAGTTAACTCCGTTAACGGAACAGTTCACAGACGTTTAGTAAATAGAAAACGTGCTTAATTCATTCATCTCTGTTTTCAATTAACGCTATCTTTATAACTGGAAACTGAAAATAAAATCCTCAAACCGATTGGGGAATCTAGGGTTCGTCATTTTACAAAACACAGAACAAAGAAAAGTTAAATCGAAAATAGTGAAGAAGTAAAAGAGAGAAAGACGAAGATAGAGTCGGATGCTTGCGACTCGAAATGGGGTAAGTGTTTCTGTTCTTTAACTTACATTCTTGGGTTAAATTTTTGGGTTTGCGAGTTTGAGCATCAACTCGAAAATGTATAAATTTTGTTTCTGGGTTTGCGATTAATGTCCCTATCCTTAAATTGGTTTGATTTTCATTAGAGATTAAGTTTTCTATCATGTTTTCAGACTAAGCTTTCTATAACGTTTTATCGATTTTGTGTTTAATTTTTGGATTTGCGATGTTGACCATGAAATCGAAATATGTGAGCTCTGTTTCTGGGTTTGAGATTAAGTTTTTCCCTCGATTTTCAATTGCTATTTGGGTTTCGGTTTTGAAATGTGAATTTTGTTTTGGGATTTTGGACATAAATCGGATTGATTCAAGGATACTTCAATTCTAATTTCAACCATCATTTTTTGTTGTACAGGAATGATGCATTGACAAAACTCACAATCCACTATGGTGGAAGTATGGAGAAAGAAGATGAAGATTACAAGTATATTGGAGAAATGAGTATGAAGACCGTAAATTGGAAATTGTATTAAACATCGTGGGCGAAGTTTATAGATTTTAGTAGGGAATTAAAGATTAGTGCACCAATTAGGTTTATTTAGTACAAAAAGACAGGGAAGGAGATGAATACGGTGAACTATGTGTTTGAGGATAATCATGAAGATATGTTCCTGATGATCTGTGTAGGGAAAATAGCAGGTGCCGTTGAGATATTTATTGAGCATGATATTTCAAACAGTGAGCCAATAGTCATTCATCATCTCGCGAGCTCCAAACGTGAAGATCTTCAACATGGGGATGAAAGGGAATCAGATGAGGAAGAAGAAGAGTAATCTGATGACAGTGATAGAGAAGTTGATAGGCCGAAAGAAGATGAAGAACCTGAGCAATCTGATGATGAGATTCATAATGATGTCGTAGGTGGTGAGAGGGCTGATTTTGTACGGCATGAGGCTGATGCAGGAGATGAGAATGCGGTTGATGCATGAGATGAGAATGTGGCTGATGCAGGAGATGAGAATGTGGCTGATGTCGAAGATGATAATGTGGCTGATGATCTGAATCAAAATAGGACTGATGATGGAGTTGATGTTGTTGTACAGGCTGGAGATGGTGGTAATGATGATAGGTTTACGTCAGTTTTTGAGGAAGGTTCTAGGGTAAAGCCAATAAAGGAAGCATATCAGAATTTAGAAGAAAAAGAAGCAGAAGAAAGAGAATCAGAAGAAAGTGAGGAAGAGTGTGTGATAGAAGAGGATGTTGAATATCCTTATATACCATTAGAATCAGATGAGGAGTGGGAACAACGGAATAATCCCAAAGGAAATAGGAGAGGAAAAGGGAAAACGCGGTATCATAGAGATTTGGAGAAGGAGCATTACATTTGGTTATTTCAGAAGTTTAACAGTGGACTAGAGTTTAAAGATCAGCTTCTGCGATATTCTCTCAAAACACAGTATGATGTGAAGATGGCAAAGTCTGAAGCTAACAGAATAGCTGTTGTTTGCTGCTGTGAGGATTGTAAGTTTAGATTGTATTTTTCTTATGAACCACCTATTAACAAGTGGATGGTAAAAGTCTACCATATCCGTCACAATCATAGGAAATCAAGCAGAGTTTCTATGTTGAAGCAAAGTGTGATTGCAAGATTGTTTAGAAAAGAGATCATAAGGAACATAAACTTACAAGCAGTAGTGATCAATGACAAGCTAACTATCATTTCTGATAAGCAAAAGGTAATTTTCTATAGCTTATTTGTTTTGTAGTCTTTATTACTTGTTTACATGTGCTTATTATTACTTGTTTTCATGTGGGTGTACAAGACTTAGTAATTGCCGTAGAGGCTGAACTTCCATATGCAGAACATTGTATGTGTGCAAGGCATATTTATGCTAATTGGAAGAAGAAGTGTTTCACAAGATCAGAATAAAAGAATCTGTTTTAGAGAGTTGCTTACAGCTACACTATAGGAGAGTGTGAAAAGAAGATGGAGTTGGTGAAGGCATATGATCCTGCAGCATTTGATGCTTTAGTAATGACAGAACCACATAAGTGGTGTCGTGCATACTTCAGTGAAGAGTCACACTGTCCTGATGTCCACAACAATTTATCTGAGAGTTTCAATAGGACAATCAAAATGGCAAGATCAAAGCCGGTAATCAATTTGTTGGAGGATATAAGAAGACAAGCAATGAGAAGGATATCAAGAGGTTTCTGAAAGCAGAAAAGTTGGACATGACTGTAACTCCAATCACGATGGCATTATTGGAGAACGCAAGGGGTGCCAAGCAGTATTGCTCAACATCTCGAAGTAGCAAAAGTTTGTATGAGGTGGAAGAGTTTAACAGTGGATACACCGTGAATTTATTCACTCACCAGTGTGCCTATCGCAAATGGGATCTTACAGGTATGAATTTGGGTTCTCTCTTTTGCATTTTGCATTATAATTGTTCGCTTATGCCTCTTGTTTTAATAATCGCCATCTTCTTGTCTTTTGCAATGTCTTCTGCCAGGCATACAGTGCAAACATGCTGTGTGTGTTTTGGATGATAATCAAAATGATCCAATACGATATGTGGCTGAATATTATTTCACATAAGTCTTGAAGAAAACATATGAAGAGAACATCAAATCTGTAAATGGTGAGAAATTGTGGATAAGGACAAATAAGTTTCCTATAGCAATACATGAGTTTAGCAAGCCAAGGGGTCGTCCGAAGAACCGTGACAGGAGAAAGAAGCCGTTTGAAGATCTACAAAATGCAGGGAAATCGATAAGACATGGAAGAGTTCCAAATTGAAGTCAATGTTAGCAAGCTGGACATATTAAGAGTAGTTGCAAGAATGAACCAGTGGTTATAGAGGGTCCAAAAAATCGACGAGGTCGACCTCGTAAGCATCCAAGTGAGGTATACATTCCAGTTTTTACTTTGCTTGTTTGGTTTTGATATCAATTTGCCTTGTTTAGTTTGATCTTGATATCGATTTGCTTGGTTTTGATACCGATTTGCCTTGTTTAGTTTGTTTGTTTGGTTTTGATATCGATTTGCTTGTTTCGTTTTGATATCGATTTGCTTTTCTGGTTTATTTTTGTTTGGTTTTTTGGTTCAATGAAACTTTCATGTTTTTCAGGTTCATCCAAAACCACCATCGAAGCCAAGAGCAAGAAGAAAAACTCTAGCCACTGAAAGTTCCTCTCAGCCTATACCATAAAATGCAATCGGTGAAGCTGAGGTAAGTTCTAGTGCTCCTCAGCCATCCGTCTCCACAAATCAAGTTCTACCACATGTATAGAAGGCTTCACGAGGAAGACTACTCAAGATAAGAAAAATTGCACCAGTTCCATACGGTGTTGGAACATTTTGGAGTCCATACACTGAACGCCCCTTTGAAGTTTTTGGAGACCGGGTTTATGATAGGTCTGCCCATAACCCACGACCTCCACAAGAACCAAGCAGACAGCCTACACAAGACCCAAACAGACATCCCCCCAAGAGGATTAAGAAGCCTGTTTTGTAGTTTTGAACCTGTTTTGTAGTCTTTATGAACTTGTTTTGTTGATTTGAACTTCTTTTGGTGCCTCTTTGGTGACATTATCGGCAATTTCTTTCTTTATGCCTTCGTGTCTTTCTTAAAAAACTTGTATCTTTTGACAACAATTGCATTAAGGTGCTTCATTTTCTCTTAATTTCAATGTCTTTAGGTGATTCATTTTTTCTTATTTTAAGAAGGAAGAAATAACTAAAGAGACAAGAGCAATTAAGAACAACAAAGAACTAACAAAGACAAGTGCATCAACCATAAACTCTTACACGGACTTCAACTAAAGAGACATGAGCAATTAAGAAGAACAACAAAAAACTAACAAAAACAAGCGATTCAGAAAATTGAAAAAGACAAGTGCATTAACCATAAACTCTTACACATACTTCGACATCACCATTATCCCTCCAATAACAACAGCAAATCAACATGATGAAGCTACAAGAACATTACGAAGTACTGCACTCCTCTCGCCTAGTATCAATACTTCTCTCTTTAGAGCTTCACATTCTTCACTTCTTTCGTTCAGTTTATCCACCAATGCACTCTGGCTTTCCATATTCTCACAATAATGAGTCAGTGTTCTTTAACCTTGCAATCTCCTCTTTTTGCTCCCTTATGATGTCCCTTGCCTCCAATAATGCTAGATTATGCCATCCGTGTGGTTTCTCCACATCAAAACAGTGAAAGAAGTTGCAATACTCAAACCTGTTGCCTACTCGACGTCCTATACAACCAAGGAACCTTCGCCCAGGGTTTTCGCGGGTCCAAGCTCTCACAATCTTCACTGATCGGTTACAATCACAAAGAACACCATTGTCCTTGGTTGAAGAAGTCACACTTTGAGAATTCGCACTCTGGGCCATCCTTGCACTCTATCTTTGATTTCTCTCTTTAATTTTGATTTTCTCTCTTTCTCTCACGAACTCTAGATTCCCAAATCGATTTGGGGATTTTATTTTCAGTTTTCCAGTTATAAAGATAGCGTTAATTGGAAACAGAGATGAATGAATTAAACATGTTTTTTTATTTACTAAACGTCTGTGAACTGTTCCGTCAACGGAGTTAACTATTCCGTTTAAAATTCCGACAGACCGTAGCAAAATGTTACTTTGATGGTTTAATGTGCTAGTAAAATTAATTTGAGGGTTAAAAGTGTTAGGGCTATATTTCTGAGATTTAAAATGCTAACTTTTGCCACCTTGAAAGTTTCGAATTTTGATGTTTTATTTTTGGCAAGAGAATATAATAGCGATTAATCAAGCCATCGGAATTAGAAAATGGAATAGTAATGTTTGTACGACTAAATCCAGACAAATAAAAGCAATTTGAGTCTTTCTATATGATATTTTTGTTGTCAATATACGAACAATTTAAGTCAAGACGTAAAGGATGTATGAAAGAACCTCACAATTTGAGTCTTGTGTGATTGATGAATTTCATGAGCTTGAAAACTTGTCAATAAGAATTAAACTCAATCAACAAAACGATATCACTCTATAAACAGAATTTGGATGATCAAATCATAGATTAACATTTAACAAAAAAAAAATAAAATAGAATACCAATGTGTAAACAAACATAACAAAATTATTACAAATAAGAAGACAAACTTTGTTTTAGAAGACAAATTCTCTGGTTCACATGATGTTACAAGCATCCGAGTTTTGGGTTTGACCTGTCTTCTGACGATTGTTTGTTGTCGTAGGCCTAGTTTTTGGGGTAAATAGGCTTACTCACTTTCGGTACAGGCTTCTTAACCGGAGTGCGATTTTGCTCCGGTTTCCCATCCGGTCCAACCCGGATTATATCAACATGTTGGTATATTTTTTTGGAGGAATTCTTCTTTATAACCTAAAAGTTGATTTTTTCTCAATATGTAGACCCCTTATTAAATGTTTGGCAAAACTAACCCAAAGGGGTAGTGAAATTACAGGTCAGTCATTTGTGACTAAACAAAAAATGTCTGCTACAGTTACGATTTTATCCGTCGGGAAGTCTACATATGAAGTCTACAATCATGACTTCTAAATAAGTATACTTTTGTAGACTATTAATGAAGTCTACATAGAAGTCTACTACATAATTAGTTTTTTTTAAATTAATTAGAAAATATAAAATAAATAAATTTCTAAAAAATTGGTAAACATAAGTAAGACATATATATTTGACATGTATAGAATACAAAATTTCAACAAATGAATCAACTTAATGCAGAAAGAAAGTTAACTAGAAACCATACAACCCCTTAGAAGTCTACTAAAGAAGTCTACTACATAATTAAATCTTAAATTTTTTTTACTAAAATTATAAAAAATATTATGATACAAAAATTATAAGCATAACCAAAACATAGACAATTGGCACCTATATTAAATAAAATTTCATGAAAATAAACCAATTTATAAGTTTCATAAGTATAAGGTTGAAAAGGGTTAGGGTTTGAAGTTCAAAAGGGTTAGGGTTTGAGATGTAAAGTTTAGGGTATTGTTAGCGTAAACCCAAATTCTATATGAATTATAATTTATGGCTTGGTTAATGATTTAGAGTCCATATCATTGTTATTTAAACTTTTAAATGTGAAAATGGTAAGAAAATTAATGTTTTGATACAAGTTTAATATCAAAAATATTTGATTTAGGGTTTAAGGTAAACAAACGTATGTAGTAGACTTCTCGGGTAGACTTCTCCAGCAGATTTCTACAGTAGACTTAAAAAAATATAGCGGGAAATAAAAATTATTTAACAAATTGGGCGGGAATCGGAACAAATTAGGCGGGAATCGAAATCGAAAAATATACCGATGTAGACTTTTTGAGTAGACTTCTCCGGTAGACTTCTTAAGAAGTCTACTTAACCGAAAATTTTCCTACATATTTAAGGAGATTAACCTAAGTAGGTTAAAAATAAAGTTTTTCTCTCCCTCTAAAAAACGCCTCTCTCTCCTCTACCTCCTCTCTGGCCATGAATCTCTTCTCCTTCCCTCTTGCCATCAAACCCATCTCTATCCTCCATCCTCTCTATCTCAATTATGGTGATGGTAAGCAAATCTGAGGTTTTGTGTTTCTTTTGTTGTTTGTTTTGTGTCCATATTGTAAATCTGGGTTTATTATTACATATTTGAGCTTCTTGTTGTAGATTTGAGTTTATTCTTGCAAATATGTGCTTCTTATGGTATAAATTTTGTATAATTTGTTGCAGATCTGATTTTTTTTTTTTTGGCAGATCAGAATTTTTAGTTGTTGCAGATCTGATTTTATTTATTTTGTTGCAGATCTGAATTTTGTTTATTTTGTTGCAGATCTAGAATTTTTTTTGTTGCATAGCTGATTTTTTTTTTTACTGTCAGAAATTGGTACACCCGGTCAATTGCAAAACTAACTTGTGTGTTGACCAGTAGACTTCTTTTGAAGTCTACTATCTGAAAACTCACGAAAATTGACTGAAAATTCACCTACCAGTGATATTTAGATTATTCAACCACCGATTTCTTTGATTCCAGCCACCACCAAACAAGCCCAATCGATTTGCCAGACCAAATCACCAAATATGGTAATATATTATAACATCAAGTTTCAAAAACTTAGATTGGAGAGTTTTTGTGCTGAAAATGGTGAAAAAATGTAAGAGTAGAAGGTTAAGAGAAAAGGAAATGAGGTTACAAAGCTAAAAAATGGGTCTTTGAAGCAATAAAAGCTTCGAATTGGTTGAAAATGGTGGTTGAGTGAATGGATGGTGATGACATTTTCGTGAATAAGTGAGGAAGATGAAGATTGTTTTGTAAAATAGATTTTCGAAATAATAATAAAAAATAATAATTTAATAACATTTTCGTGAATAAATAGAACTGATAAGAATATAAGGAGAGAAAGTGACTAATTTCAAAAGTGATAAAATAGAAGGTTAGTTTAGCAATTGACTTAAATTTATGGGTCATTTTTGCAAGATTCCCTATTTTCTTTAGTTTCTTCGTCATTACAAACTTATCAAATCTACCCATCACCTTTAGTTTACCTTTTTCTTTGACGTCTACCGAAGTAATTTCTAACAACAACAAAACATTATTGCTAATTAACAAAACTAGTTTTAAAGCTAAATTAGATAGATTTCTTATATCTGTATTTTATTTTTTTGTTCAAAATTCCTATATCTGTATATAAATTGAATATCCTGCCATGGTTGATTTTTTTGGTTTAATAAAACTGAATAGATCTGTGTTGGTGTACCTGGAAACGGAGACAACTTGTATAGCTTTCTGTTTGATTTTATCATCAAAAACGTCCAACTTGAATACAACTACTTCCTGCAAAATTAGCAGTTTATTGAATAAGCAATAGCTTTATTAAATATATATATATATATATATATGTGTGCTTGTATTAATTCTGCAGAAATCCTACCGTAGATAATAATATTATGAAATTTTAAATTCTTAAAAATTAAAACTATTCTGAAAAAAAACGGACCTGCATTTTCGGATACTAAAAAAACGATTGGAGAGAGTGAAGACAACGCAGAGCCTAGAGGAATATGATTGATACCTAGTAGCTTGCTGAATGCTGATAAACCTTTGCTTCCCAGGTGTATTTATACGATACTTATTCTTTAGCTATGAATACAATAACGATTAGGTCAAGCCAATCGGAGCTAGAAAATGAAATAATCAATATTGTACGACTGAACCTAGACGAATAAAAACAATTTGGGTCTCTTACTTTAGTCCCTCCAACCATTACCGTGTTATACTTATAACTAAGAAAAGATCTGCACGTTGCGCAGATTTATGATATATAAACTATATTAATTTTATTATATTTGTTAGTAAAAGTTTGTTGGTAAATACTATTTAATTTTTGTATTAAAAATTGGTGAAATAATAATGTGAGGTTTGATCAAGTTAGAAAAGTGAAGCTGCCATCAAGAATAACTGAAAAGATGGTTCTCGAGAGTAGAATCCATATTGTGATAGTGGTGGTTTGAGGTTCAATGCAGTATAGAAGTAAGTAGTGAGCTATTAATGTAAAAAGATTTCTTAAAAGCAAATAGTGCATGATTTTTTGTTTGATTGGCCATAAAGAAAACATGAAGAAATGAGTCTATTTTTCGGACAGAAAGGACGACATAGTCATCTCTTAATTTTTTTTAGAAAACTCAAATAATGTGATACATGAGACATAATGAAAGAGATTCTAGTGGAGAAGGAACAAACAAAACCGAAATCTTGTTTTTAAATCTGCTCGATGAAAGCGAATACCAAAAAGATAGGAAAAAAGAGAGAAAAATGTGACAATTGACGTTACTATATTATATAAAATTTGTACTTTGTTGGATAGTTTGATTTTTGTATATGTTTATTGGATGAAAGAGAATTATTGGAGAAGAAAAAAAATCAAAGCTTTTGTTTTTGTGTTAGTTCGATAAAAGTGACGTATTTCAATTTCTAAGATAATACGCGATAGTATATCACAGTTGTTTATGAAAAAAACTTTACTATATTTTTTATAGTTAAAAACAAAAGTGATATAAAAGATCTGTTTCAGTGATCTGATTTTTGAATCTGTTTGTTGGATAAAACATAATAATTTGGAGAAAAAGAAAAAAGAATTTAAGTTTTGTTTTGTGTTTGTTTGATGAAAGATAATTAAATAGAAATAATTAAAATAAAAAATGACATATGTTAACTTCTTAGATACCATGTGGAAAAAATGTTACTATATTCTAAGAAGAAAAAAAACTTAAGTGTTATTTTTTATTTGTTCGATAAAAAAGAATGTAGCTAAGATAGAAAAAGTAACACATAATCTTATTATATTTTACAAGATTTGTTTGAGTGATTTAATTTTTGTTTCTGTTTGTTGGATAAAAG